GGGGCGGGGGGGGGGCACTTCTAAGTCCTTTCAGGGGCCTGAAGGGCTTGAGGTTGTGAGCAGGGGGAGAGGGAGCAGCAGTATAGTTGGCAGACAGAGGGTGGGAGTGTTCCAGGAAGTGTGACTGACGGACAGTTATCCTCTGTACAGAATATCCTCTTTTGACACTCAAGTGTCCCATCAGATTTTTCCAGGCCAGCTGCCTTTGGTTCCTCTGAAAACAAAGCTCTCAAAATCTCTCTCACCCTCGTATCTCTCCTCATGACCAAGGACATGACCTTTCTGACCTTCCACTTCCTCATCTATAAAGTGATGACAATAATAATATCTACCATGATGTTAGCTAAGACATGTGACATATTATAAATAGCGTCCTTAGCACAATACCTGACACACCCTAGATGCTTGAAAAATAATAGCTGTTCTTACTGATTTAGCCCAACTTTCCCTAGCTTTTTATTTTTTAATATATTTTATTGATTTTTTTACAGAGAGGAAGGGAGAGGGATAGAGAGTTTGAAATATCGATGAGAGAGAAACATCGACCAGCTGCCTCCTGCACACTCCCTACTGGGGATGTGCCCGCAACACAGGTACGTGCCCTTGATCGGAATCGAACATCTAGATATTCCAAATACCCTACTGGAGCTACTGCCCTTCCAGGCTAGTCAGGGAAGCGTTTTTTTTTTTTTTTTTTTTTTTTTTTTTTAATAGTCAGATCCCAAGCACTACACAATACTGGGGCTCAATAAAATCTTTTAGATATTTTTACAGAATATACATCCAAGCCAGCTCTTCTTTATGGTAAACGTGTGCCCTTAATTGTTTCTAACCTAAATACAGAACTTTACATGGGCCTTTGAGAACCTGCATCTAGTTTATTCCCATCAGGCACTACAGGCTATTGAGGTTTTACCTCTTGACAGTAATAACAGCCACCATTCAATGGACACCACTCTAAGCCAAGCACCGCGCTAGCTGTCAGTTCACTTTATCTCATTTAATCCTCACAATAATCCACTGAGGACAGTACTATTATTCCAGTTTTATAAGAAACTGAGGCTCGGAGGGGTTAAAGCACCTGTGCAAGGTCACAGAGCCAGTGAGGAAATGACCTGAGAGCTGAACCAACATAGACTCCAAGGACCACATTCTGAATGCTTGTGCTAACCCGAATGCAGGCAAAGGGCGGCCAAAGGCTTCAGCTGACTGGCTAACGCCTCACCCGGCCTTTGGATGCTGCCAACTCAACTTGTATGCATATGAAGAAGGCCAAACCCACATGCTTTGGACAGTACATGAGAGAGGACCATATAAAAGATGAATGAATTCAAGTCATTGTCCATTCAATTTCCATCTTTCTATCACTGTTTCTGCTCCACCCCTGATATCCATCATCATGTCCATCCAGCACAAAGGAAACACAAAGAAATATTTGATTGAATGGATTAGAGAAGGAAAGGGAAAGGAAGAAGGACCAGGTAGGGAAGGGGGCTGGGAAAAAGGAAGGGATCGAGCTGTGGGCAGAGAAAGGGCCAAGAGCGAAAGAACAGAGGAATGGGGATAGGAGAACGGGGTGGGGGGGGGGGGGGAGATCAATTTATTCTTCCCAAGCTCTGATCTACCATTTGCCTCAAATGAACCTGTGAGAGTCCCAGAGTTTCCCAGTTTCCCCCAATAAATTACCCTGCCCTCAGCTTTCATTTCAGGAGTTCTTTCTTCTCCCCAAAGGCTAACCCCTCTCCCCTGATCCCTTGCCCTGCACACTGGGAAGTGGGCTCTGGACTCTGTCCATTCTCAGAGCCTCCCTCAGTTTCCTGGCACGGCCTTACAGCTCAGCACTACCTTCCTGCCCAATTTCCTCTTCCTGCCTCCAGTTCCCCGGAGATGAGGCCATGCTGGCATGGCAACCGCTAGCGGCCCTTCCATCCCACCTCCGCCAGCTTCTTTACAGCAGCACCTTAAAGCACCAAGCCTGCTTCCCACTGGGCCCATCTTCCCATGGGGAGGGGAGGACAGCAACTGCCACCACCTGTTCCTGACACCTTTGCCTTGGAGATGGTAAGTGAGGGCAGAGCCCAGAATCTGCAGCCAGGGTGGCGGAGTGGCGATGACTCAACTCAGGAATGTGTCCCCAGATAGGGGTGAGAAGGGAGTTAGGCCTCTGCCACACTCTGATAGCTTCAGTGGAACTTTTAAACAACTTCCTTCCTCTTTCACCCCCAAAAACCTGCCACCCCATCTGCTCAGGTGCCTACTTCCCCAGCGGGGCTTGACTCCTCACGGCCCCAGGGGGGGCTGAGGCGGTCATCACATTACCTACCACTTCTCAGGAGGAGTGCCAGGCAGGTAGGTCTCTGCCATTCTATCTCCTTTAACCCCCCACGGACCGACCCAGCAGGGCAGGTATCGCTCACCCACTTCTCGGGGGAGGAAAAGGAGGGTCAGGGAGGTTAAGTGACTTGCCCCGGGTCACAGAGCCAGGAAGTGGCCATCACCAGGATCTCAGCCTGACCCTGAAGCCGATGCTGGTGTAATCACTTGGCTCAGAAAGTGGAGCCAAGTCCCGCTCACTCCGCGGGGCAGCCGGGATGGGGCTCGGGCCACACTTTCCGAAACTCCCTGGCTCAAGGTCAGCGGAGGGGCTGACCCAGCCCGGCCCCAGCAGCGGTAGCCTCGCCCGGGGACTGCGATCACGGAGGACGTCCCCACCCTCGGACAACTGTCACACCCGCTTTGCTGGTCCTCTGCCCCTCGCCCGGCCCTCCCTACCCGAGTGGCCCCTCACCATCGCTGCTGCTGCTGGGCTCGCTCCTGCTCCTCTGCCCACAGTGGCCCCCGTGCCAGAGCCCGGGAGGAAGCAGAGGGGCGGGGCAGGGCGGGGCGGAGGGAGGGGGGCGCC